TAAATAATATATATATATATATATATATATNTTTTTTATATATATATATAATTTTTTTAGTGGAGAACTGGGTTGAGACCCAAGCCATCGTGAAACATGTTTGGTCCCGATCAATTCTTACTTAAATTGACAATTTGGATGAGGAATAGCCGGCTCTAAAACGATGCATAGTAATCATCGTCATCGTCATCGTCATCATCCATGTTTTATTTTTTTGGATTAATTGGGGTTGATAAGAATCCTAGTGTTTTATTAAATGTCATTCTCTTAAAAACATACACGATAATAACACATCACCTTGAAAAAAAATCAGGCATTCATAATAATAACAATAATAATACCTATTAAAACCTTTGCAAAATATTTATGCAATATGCTGGGTGTTAATATATCTATTTAATACCCTTTAACTCCTCTACTAAAGAGCCTTTTTGATTATTTGAGCGGGGTGATCGATGACTATTTCGTAGAAACGTAAGGGTGTAATCGGAAAAATAATTAAAAACATAAGAAATTACAGTGTCTCAAACGTGTGGTTTGACCTTTGACGGTTGCCCCTTTCCCACTGCACACGAAATGCCCTTTAGATTCATTCACTTTCCAGCTGTGTCCAACGCACAAAGGAGACTATATCACCCTTACCTTTCCCCAAATACCCATGTCATCCCAACCCTCATAAAATTAACTCAAAACTGTCCTTCCAAGAGCACATCAATTTATCACCACTCAAATAAAATTAATGATTGAGAAAGAAAGCTTGCCCTTTAAAAAAAATGGTAACTGCCTAAAATTTTTTCCATTTAATTTCTTTCTACTTATATAAATCAACAGCTAACAACCTGTCTCCAGTTGTATATAAATCAACAGGTAACAGCCTACGTTAAAAAAAAAAAAAAGAAAAAAGAAAAAAGAAAAAGAGGAACACTAAACTCATGGAAGGCACTTGGTTTTTATTAGAGGTCAATCTGGATTGGGTTTGGTGGGTGGATGTTTTGGGTTCAAGCTCATCGATTTTTGCCAATTCAGCCAATCTAGGTTGCCGATACGGGATTCGGACACAATAGGGTTTAACCTACATGTGGGTTTAAACCCTGAAAAGCATTAGTGAAAATGATTATTGCAACAAGGATTTTGTTGTTGGTAGTGTCAACAAGGATTTTGGTGTTGATAGTGCAAAGATGACTTTTTAAGCTCTTATTAAAGTGGAATTTGCCCACTTAGATTTTAAAAAGTGGGTTATTATATGGTGAAGGATCAAATTCTAAAATTTCAGCTAAGTGCATTTTTGGCTGGAATCCACCGTTGATAGGATTTTTTCTCAGGAAAAGTTATGCACCAAGAATGCATGGTTTTACAATGACTTATCCTAAAAATAGGTTGTCGTGAATGTTTATGCGAAGTTTCGGGTATTATTCACAAAAAGTATGAAATTCATGTAAAATATTCTCATTCAAAATATTTAATTTTTATTTTGCCTTTTTTCCGTTGGCCTAATGAATCTCACAAATTCTATAATTTATTTGATTTGTCGAAATATAATATGAAAATCTATATAATAAAATTATTTATTTTGATACAAGAAGGTCACAATCATCATTGACCATTAAATTTGAAATCGAATTGTTATGATGTATCATTGTTTTGACATAAAATCGAAAATATAATTTTTTAAATGTTATAACATGTTTTTATCCATTAGATTTTACGTATAATGACAAAAAATGATTATAATCTCTTTGTATTAAAAATAAATAATATCATTATATACAATCACACTTATTAATATAAAATCGTATTAATGTAAAATCAAGGGATATATCAACATACGTTGGGTGTTTGCCCATCCAGGAGAATACTAGGCAGATTTCAGTCATTTCAGAATTATTTGCCCTTTTTTTTTTCCTTTTTTTTAATTTGCCCGGCTAAAAGGTTTTATCAAGTTAGATTTAGTTCTCAACTTCTTACTCAAATCCTTAAGTGAGTGTCTTTCTTGCTGTTGGCCAGTCAATCAACTCTTGAAAAAAATAAATAAAAAATAAAAATATGTAAAAAATGGAGATGCCTTCCTTCTTTATCTTCTCACTTTCTTCTTCTTTTACACTGCTTTTTCAGTCTCTCTCTTCATACATAAGGCCCCATCTCCTCTCACTCTCTCTCTCTCTCTTAAACCACGGAGAAGAAGCATTTTCTCTCACTACATTTCCGGCATTCTTCTTCTGGGAAACCAGGGAGATCCAATAAAGAAGAGCCCAACCTTGAAAACCTGTGCAACCTGAAGTAACCCATCAAAGTCCTTCCTTTCTCTCTCTAGGAACCAGTCTACTACCTCTCCTTCTTTTACTCTCACTGAGGAGCTCATCTGTTGCTGACACTCACCAAAACCTGGCATTTTTAGTGGAGTTCTCTCTCTAAGACACCACCCAAAAATTGCTAAATCATCCTATCAAATCTCCTCTTTTTAGTCCCATTTAGAAGCTATCTTCCCAAAAAAGAAAAGTCCACCATTATCGGCCTTTTTAGTAAGAGAATCAGTGAGATCCACACTGTGAGGAAACTCCCCTGTTTTATCCTGAAAACCTCTATAAAACGACAAAGTGCTCCACCCAATTAAAACCCATCATCTAAAACAATCAGATTTGCTAAAAGCCACTTCAAATTGACCCCATAAACTGCAAGTTCTATCAATTTCTCTGAGAGAAACAGTGGTGGGAGAGAGAAAGCTTAGAGAGAGATTGAGCTTTAAAGAGGAAGAGAAAGATGAGCATGTATGGTAGAGACCCATGGGGGGGTCCATTGGAGATCAATGCAGACTCTGCAACAGACGATGATAGGAGTCGAAATTTACAGGAATTTGATCGAGCTGCTCTTTCACGACAACTCGATGAGACCCAACAAAGCTGGCTCTTGGGGCCGGGAGAACAAAAGAAGAAGAAGTATGTCGACCTTGGTTGCATAATCGTGAGCAGGAAGTTGTTCAAATGGACAGTTGGGTCCATTCTGGTTTGTGGGCTTCTTGCTGGTTTGATAACTCTCATTGTGAAGACAGTTCCTAGACATCACCATGCGAAGCCACCTCCTGATAATTATACTCAGGCTCTTCATAAGGCTCTCATGTTCTTCAATGCGCAGAGATGTGAGTGATTTGAAAAAAAAGAATTTCCTTTTCCTTTGTTTCCTGTGATTTGTTTTTGTCTTTTGGTGTTTTTAATATTGGGTTGGTTGGATGTTTTGGTGAATTGCTTGGATGAGACATCCTTTTCTTCTTGTGTTCTTTTGTTGCAGTGGGATGAGTAACTGAGGAAAAAAAATTCATTTTCCTCCAGTGATTTCATTTCTTTCTTGGGATTTCAGATTTTCTTGCATTGCATGTATGAAAAAAAAAAAAATCCTTTTTTGTCCTGTGATTTTTTCCATGCAGTGATGTGAGTGTTTGGAAAAATTATTTACCTCTGTCATTTTTTTTTTGTTTTGGACGATTTTTATCTGGTGTTCCTCTGTCTTTTGAAATCTGTTCTTTGAAAAAAAAAAAGAACGATTTTTTTGTATGATTGGTTTCATCAATATAGATGTGAGGGAGAAAAAAATGTAGGCTTTGTTTTAGCATTTTATTTTTTTGGATTAAATTTTGTTAATTTAAGATACTTTATTTGGCTCTCTTTTGCTCCTTTCCCGGATCAATTGGTGTGTGAGGAGGAAAATGAGGCAGTTTTTTTAAACTTTTTTTCCTGTGAACATACGTCCGTTTATGTAACTGAAAACCTTAAATTTGTGATATTTTTTTTTGAATCTAAATTTGTGAGTTTTTTTGTTTTCTTCAGTTTCTTTATTTTTGTTTTTTTGGATTTTTTTTCAGTGCCTTGAAAACTTGTTTTGAACCCTCTTCAGATATGAGAAAGTAAATCCTGTACAAATTATAATGTTTCCCCTTAACTTTCTTTATCTTTTCAGGGTAAGTTTTTCTTCGATTTTTTGTATTTGAAGTTACTTCAGTTTCTGAGAAAATTCTACAGATCCTCTCTTTGCAATTAAAACTTTAGCCTTTAGATCCCCATGAGATCACCCGTAATAATTTGGGTTTCTCTTCTCAGTAAAAATATTAGAAGGCATTTATTTTTTCATTGAAATTTTTTATTTCTGGGTTTATGATTTTGTTGGCAGATCTGCCAACAAAAACTTAATCCCCAACGTCTCTCTCTCTTCATCTCTCTGGTTTTATTGCTCTCTTTCTCTGTATGTGACTTGTGCGGGTATTATTGTTCACTTTTTGTCTTGGCTTTGATCTGCGTGTATCATTGTTCACTCATTGTCTTGGCTTGATCTGGTTTTATTGGTATCTCTCCTCTTTTTTTGCACGAATTTTCACCCGGTTTTATTTCCTGGGGTTTAAAATTTTTAAACAATTGGTTTTGATGGGTGTACATTGGTGTGTGTATGTGTGAGAGAGAGCGCACTAATGCATTCGGTGGTGCCAGGACAGACTGAAAATAAATAATTTGTTCTCCCTAACAACGATAAAAAAATTGTTTTTCTCTGAACTTGAAACTCACTCAATAGTTTTCGGGTCATCTTCTATTAAGATAAATAAATTTTACCATTTTAACTCCGCAAAAAATAATCCTTTTTTTCTTCTGTTTTCAGCTGGGCCTCTACCCAAGCATAATAATGTATCATGGAGAGGGAACTCAGGCATGAAAGATGGGCTCTCTGATCCTTCTGCAAGAAAAAATTTGGTGGGTGGTTTCTACGATGCTGGAGACGCAATCAAATTCAATTTTCCGGCTTCTTTTGCGATGACAATGTTGAGTTGGAGTGTAATAGAGTATAGTGCAAAGTATGAGGCCGCAGGTGAACTCAACCATGTTAAAGAAATCATCAAATGGGGAACCGACTACTTTCTCAAGACCTTTAACAACTCTGCTGACACCATCGACAACATTGCTGCTCAGGTACCTTTAATGTTCTTCCCAACCATGTTTCTTAATTCTTTTTGATAAGCAATGCTTTATTAATTCTTTTTAAAATTTGACTATCACTATTCGTTTGCACATATCTATGTATCTATGCATCAATTCTGCTGATTCCGTGATTTTGAACACATTTTATTTTTAACTGATGTCCTGTCGTTTTCGTGTCCAATATTAAAATGAATTTTGACGGCAAGTTATTCAATTCAATAAAATGAAAAAGACACTAAAAGGAGAAAGGTAATATTCATGCGGATGATATATAAGAAAACCTACATGAGATACATTCCCCAGCCATATGAATACTCACTCTTAAGTATGATTGGACTTAAATTCTATGTGGATATTTTTTCTGTTTTTCATAGAAATATTTTTCACTTGAAAATGGTGACCATAATTCATTTATGGCTTTGGCCTTTCAAGTATGCATCTTGATTTGGAATTTGCAAATTCTGTTATTTTGTATTCACATACATCAAGCTACATGTATATGCATATGCATGTTTACTGCTGTTTATTTGCCCTCATCTAAACACGCATATTTGCATTTGACCTGGGCATCTGCATAATCCAATTTATTCAATGCCTATAGGCGTCAAACGTATATTGGAAATCGAGTAATTTGGCTTATATTTCTACGTGAAGCATCAATTAAATATAATTGAAGACCTCATTGTAGTTAAGCAATCGATTCACTGATGCATTTATTGATGGGGCCAAATACAATATTGTTGATTTGAGAATCTAATCTCAAACCTGAGATTTGCTGCACGTGAACCCCACACTTCTCTGTATCTATTGATTTCTATTGGAGGAGGAAAGGAGGGAGAGAGTGAAGGGAAAAAATGACGACATTCTAAACTTTCTTTATTTGCTTGGCTTTCAGGTTGGATTGGGGGACACATCTAAAGGTGCCTCGAGCCCTAATGACCATTACTGTTGGATGAGACCAGAGGATATCGACTACCCCCGTCCTGTCACTGTGTGCCACAGTTGCTCTGACCTTGCTGCCGAAATGGCAGCTGCCTTGGCTGCAGCGTCCATTGTTTTTAAAGACAGCAAAACATACTCCCAAAAGCTTGTTCATGGAGCCAAGACCTTATTCAAATTTTCAAGGGACCAAAGGGGTCGTTATAGTGCAGGGGGAGTCGAGGCCTCGATATTTTATAACTCCACTAATTATTATGATGAGTATGTTTGGGGTGGGGCTTGGTTGTATTATGCAACTGGTAACTCATCTTATTTGCAACTGGCCACCACTCCTGGTATTGCTAAGCGTGCAGGTGCCTTTTGGGGGGGCCCTGATTACGGGGTTTTGAGTTGGGATAACAAGCTTGCCGGTGCTCAGGTATGTTGAATATTTTCGATTCACTCATCCAATGCATTTCTTTTTGAATATTTGAGGGTGTTTATATTGTTTAATTGTGGGGGGATAGGAAGGATTTTTTATTTGCTATGTTCAACTTCAATTTAACGATGGGATAGTGATGACCTTCATGAATACTGTTACTGTGATCATACGATCGTATTTAACTTTTCTATCACTCTGACCAAATATCGGTAAGCATGTGTTTCTAATGCAAAATTGAGGTTGTGTGAGACTCGCTGCTTTAAAACACTATATAAGTTTGGAGGAAGCAGCCAAGCAACTGTAGATTGTCACTGGGAAGGTCTGTTCTTTTGCTTTTTTAAAACTCAGTCTCAATCTGTCAATAAATGCCGTAATAGTCTCTATACTCTGTTTCTTTTCAATATTACAGTTAGTTATCATAAAAGAAAACTATAGATGAGCAAAGATGATTCAGCAGGGCAAGAGTCTTTTTCATTATGTCAAAAATTGATTACCTGAAAATTCAAATAGAAGACATGAAAAAGGAAACGTGCACACTTGGACAAAAACGGATATTGTATCCATACGCTTATGTATCTGCTTGTGTTTCTATAAACAAATGAACAGCTGGGCATATGCATCGACCAATTTCACATCCAACGGTGAATAATGATTGTAACTTGTATAAAAAATAAATGGCCTCATTGTATACATTTCCGTAACATGAAGCTGCCAAGAACTGTTTCTGTTTGATGATTTGAAACAATGGGCGACAATGACTGTGTTCTGTTTTATTTCCTGTTTTTATATTTTCTGGAGAGTACTATCTTGTTATTAATATCTGCTTATTAGATGTTGATATGATTTTTTTTTTATTTCTTTGACTGCAGGTTTTGTTAAGCAGGTTGAGACTCTTCCTCAGTCCTGGATACCCATTTGAAGAAATGCTCAAGACTTATCACAACCAGACTAACATTATAATGTGCTCGTACCTGCCTGTTTTTACCAGCTTCAATCGCACTAAAGGTTTTATACTCCTCCACCAAAGAAATCGACTTTATTGTTATTTATATTACTATCATCATCTTCTTTCTGATTATTACTATGACATTTTGAGTTCTGAATCGTGAAAAACCCCTGCAGGAGGACTTATACAGTTAAACCATGGAAGGCCTCAACCTCTTCAGTATGTTGTGAATGCGGCCTTCCTTGCTTCAATCTATGCTGATTATCTCGATGCTGCTGATACCCCTGGTTGGTATTGTGGCCCCACTTTCTTCTCCAAGGATGTTCTACGCAATTTTGCAAGAACCCAGGTACTCTCGCATAATGTTCTTTTCATTGGATAAGTTATTTTACTCATTGATTTCTGAGTAAGTTATCTATCATTTGATATATGACAAGATAAATCTCAGGGCAAATAAAAAAAAAAAAAAATACTTTGGTTCAAATTGGTACGCTGACATAAAACTGAAACAGTTTGCAGCTGAGGGTTGAACCCCAAATGTTGGATCGTGGACTGTGATCTTGCAAAATTTAGCCAAACATAAGGCTTGGAGAAATGACCCCAAAAAAGGGACTTTTGTTCAAATGGGCCTGCTGCCTGTAAAACTGAAACAGTTTTCAGCTGACGGTTGCCCCCCCCCCCCACCCCTACCCACCAAATATGGGATCCTGGACTATGATCTTGCAAAATTTAGCCAAATTTGTAGTGATTTGGTTTGAATACAATGTTTGGAAAGCATTGCCCATAATTTTTCTTATAATAAAGAAAAGAACTCAAAAAAAGCATTTCATTGCTGGTGTAGGTACAACACTCCAATCCTAGGAGTGACCCATCTTAGTATTGTTGTTGTACATGCAAGCTTAATTTTGGGGTAAGCTAAATATTTTTGGGAGAATTTAAAACCTTCTTACGGAGTGAGTGTGGTCGCACATGTGCTTCCCCATGAGATCCAGTACTCTTCTTGCACATGCATACTTAACTTTACACTTTCAGAGAAAGAGAGATGCCTTTTGCTTGATGAATACTGAAACTTACTCATACTAATGTTTAACCACTTTCCATGTTGCAGATTGATTACATTCTAGGTAAGAACCCGCGAAAGATGAGCTATATTGTGGGTTTCGGAAACCACTATCCAAAACACGTGCACCATAGAGCAGCTTCAATCCCTAAGAACAAGATCAAGTACTCTTGCAAGGGTGGGTGGAAATGGAGGGACACACCCAAGCCTAGCCCAAATACACTTGTGGGGGCAATGGTGGCAGGACCCGACAAGCATGATGGTTTCAAAGATGTAAGAGGAAACTACAATTACACCGAGCCCACTCTCGCTGGCAATGCTGCTTTAGTGGCTGCTTTGGTTGCTCTCTCCGGTGAGTCACATTCCATCGACAAGAATACCATCTTCTCTGCGGTGCCACCCATGTTCCCTACTCCCCCACCACCTCCGACTCCTTGGAAACCTTGAGAGAGAGAGACAGAGAGAGATATAGAGGGAGAGAGAGCCACCACAATCCTTTGTAGGATAGCAGTATTTACTTGTTCTTAAGCTAGAAAAAGCGGGGCTAGAGAATGAAGAGAGATTACATGGGGTCTTTGATGTTGGGGATTTGCTTGTTCTTAATCTTTGTTGTGTTCATAGTTTGTAGGTATAATATTCTTGATTGTTTTTCACTCTCTATGTGCTCTGTGTGACATATAGAGTGATACTTTGTATTTGCTAATACTTTTTGACTACCCAAAGAGGGATGCTGATGATAAAAGAATCATGTAATTTGTGCCCGTCCTTTTGTGCATCTGGTTTCAATATTTGCCAACTCTTCTTAATTTATGGGACTTTCATTTGAGCAAGAATTCTATAAAGATCCAAAAAGGTTGCTTAAACTAGAAGATCTGGGAAAGGTTTCTATACTTCTCCTACAGCATAGAAGATCCATCCTTCTCCTACCATCGCTCTCCAATTTTGATCAAGAGAGTTACTCACCGTTCGGTTTTAGATTCGATGTTGCAAAGCATTTTAGTTTTAGTTTTTTTTTATATAAATTATATGAATATGAAATTTGGTACGAGCCATCTTTTCATTGGAGCACACCTATAAAAAATAATAAAAATAAATTTTCAATAAAATATAATAATTAAAATATCTATTGAAACTTTTATGGGTATTTTGGTCATTTTATTTTATTGAAAATATTTTTATTTATATTTTTCTCTAGTGAGAGTTTAATAGAGGATTGGACATTTAAAATTTGGTATCAAAATAGTTTATAGAAAAAAAAAATTAAAAAAAATAATAATTTAGAGACGTGACATTGTGATTGGGACAATCTTAGCCTTCCATTTATAATGGACAGTTGGATAAGTAGGGATAGCATAAAAAACTTGCCCTGAAGATATTAGACTTGATTTGATTTGATTTATAAGTCATTCCAAAGCAGAGCATTTGGAGTCTTTAATCACATTGATTCTTATGAGAAACTTGTGATCTTGTGCATTTTAGACCACATCAGAAACCACCCAAAACATGTTTTGTGGTTGTTTTAGTTTTGCCAGCAGTCACTTCTCGAGATGCACAAGTGCGCTATACATTGGGTAGAAAATCTACTAGGTAGTATTTGTTTGATCTAAAATTTTAGGATTCGATATAGAATCACTACAATGTTCTCAACTAAGAAAAATGGACATTCTAAGCATTTATATTTGACGGTTCACATACGGGTTGGTTTCCATTCGATCTTGAAACATCATATTTTTAGGCACTTAACATAATGCATGTGAATCCTGTTTTTATTTATTTATTTATTTTTATTTTAATGTTTGATTAAAAAGAGGATCTAGGCATCTCACTTTTGAGGGATATATGGGTGTTCTCAATAAAATGAGCATGGAAATTTGCTAAAGAATGCATCTAGAACTCCTTGCTCATTTTTGCCAGAGAAATTCATGTAGCTTGTGCTATGGTTTAGCACCCAAGAGCAAGAAAAAGTTTATACAAGGTGCCAATCTTATATTGTAGAAGTAAGGCATGCTTGAAAAATCTATCGAAAGGTTGTTCTGATATCAAAACCTTATAGTTGGTCATCTTGACCTCGAATGCATAGATATGGAAAAAATAAAAATAAAAATTTTAAGCCATAAAAATAAAAATTTTAAGCCTTAAAAATAAGGGTGCGGTTTGGATAGAGCCTAGGCTTTAAAATAGTGTCGAGAAATGTAGTTTCAATCCTGAAAATATTTGTGATAGCTTT